ATTCTTTCCGATGCGGCTCAACTTGGGTTTTGCCAGCTTTGGGGGGACGAGGACAAAGCTGCCCGCTGGATTCTGCCTTCCATCCGGGCCGCCTCTTTCCACTTCCCATTGTCCCATGGTTCCGGGGTGGGGGAATTCAAAGATGCCCCAAGGCTCTGAAGGCCCATTTAAAGCAGCCCGGGCAACTGTGCCCAGTCTCGTTGGCATTCTCAGAGCAGCTGGGGTGGGCACGGCTGGTCCTTTGGATCCGGTCTAGTCTCCATTTCTGAATGAAGAAGGTGAGTGAAAGCTTCCCTCTTGGGACTTGTCCGGAATAATTCTATAATTTTTATATTGGTCTCAATATTTTAATTTTAATGTAGTTTTTAATCATGGTTGCCCCTTATCTTTATAACAGTTTTATATTGGTTGTTTTGATACTGTGGGTTTGATTGTTGTACACCGGCCAGAGGCACTTCTGGTGAGATGGGCAGCTGTAAAAATTAGATAGGCAGACAGATGTCGACAGAGAGAGAGAGAGAGAGATGGGTGGGATGGACAGACAGACACTAGATGGGTGGACAGATAGATAAAGAAATGCTATGTAGATCAAGGGTCCCCAAACTTGGCAACTTTTAAGACTGGTGGACTTCAAGTCCCAGAATTCCTCCTCCAGTCATGTTAGCTCAGGAATTCTGGGAGTTGAAGTCCACAAGTCTTACAGTTGCCAAGTTTAAAGACCCTTGCTGTAGATGGATGGATAGATAGATAACCGTTGATGGGTGGATGGACGGACATTCAGACACTGTAGATGGATAGAGAGACTCTCTTGATGGGTGGATGCATGGACGGAGAGACTGTAGACAGATAGGCGGACAAACGTTGTAGATGGATAGACAGACACACAACAATTGGTGGGTGGGTGGACAGACATACAGACCCTAGATGGGTGGGCAGACAGATAAAGAAACACTGTAGATGGATGGATGGATAGATAGTCACCACTGACTATTGACATACAGACTCTGTAGATGGATAGAGAGACCCTGTTAATGGATGGATGCATGGATGGACAGGCTGTAGATGGATAGACAGACACTGTAGATGAATGGATAGGCAGACACACACAATCGATGGATGGATGGACAGACATAGAGACACTAGATCAGTAGATCCTGTTGAGGATCTACTGAGTAGATGAAGGAAAGGGCGGAAAGACTGTAGGTGGATGGACGGACCAACAGACGATGGATGGATGCTTGAGGAGGCCATGACATCTGCTCCCAGTGTGTATGCGTGCGCATGCATGTGAGTGTGAGATGCAGGTTGGTGTTGGGAGTTGGGGCCGTTGTGGGCGACAGCTGACGTGGCATGACAAGGCCTATTCATAGCCCCAGAGATGAATAACTGGAAAAGGCTGCTCCGTCATCGTCAGCGTCTTCCGACATCCGCCTCGCCCGCTTGGCGCTTCTCCCTTTGAACGTAAATGGGCACATTTGCCAAAGGCAGAGCAGCATGGGCGAGGGAGTCCATGCGCAGAGGCGGGAGAAGACAGATGGGGGTTGGACTTCCAGGAATGGGTGGCGGGAAAACTTTTCAGTTAGACCGTGCGTGTGAGATCCGGGTGGGAGCTTTGCGTTTCAATATTTTGTGGGGTGCTGGTCATTGTGTTGGATTCAGTTTAGTTTTGAGTTAAGTTTAGTGTTTACCTTTTAGTTTAGTTTAATGTTCAGCGCTTAGTTTATTGTTTAGTTCTTTTTGCCACCCAGAGCCTCCTATCGAAATAGGCGGTATCGCATGAATCGAATGCACAATTAAATAAATAGGACCTATCAAATATAAGTTGGGCCTCCTTGTCCGAAGGGGGCAGCCCAGCGGGAGGAAAATCCTATTATTGGTCTGTGAAAGCCCAGAATCGAAAGGAATTTCAGGAACCTTTTTCTGACTTGACACATATCATTCAACAGCAGAAACCACTCAACAAAAAGACTAACTAACATGCCTTGTGGGCCTGTCGAGAAAATACCTACGCAGGCCTTAGCTTTACCCTGAAGCAAAACTTCCCAAGAGGAATGGTGATGATTAAATGGTTAGGTGTAACCAAATAAATCCAGAACAAATCACTTTTCTTAGTCAGAAAAGATGTTCTCAGGTGCCTCCTGATCCTTTAAAAAAAAAAAAAATTACCCCTTCGCAAATGAACAAATAAGGGATTCTTTTGAAGAATCACTGTTGTACAGGTAGTCCTAACTTACAACCCCAAATGTTTCTGCGGTTAAGTGAAATTTTGTCCTACGTTACGATTTTTCTTGCCCTCATTGCTAGGTGAATCACTACAGTTGATAAATTAGTAATCCGGTTGTTTAAGTGCCTTTGGAAAAAAGGACCGTTGGGACCAATTTTCAACCTCTCTCTCGATGGGGGGGGGGTATTGTCTTGTGGGTGGCTAGCATTTGTAGACCATGTTGGTTGTGATCTTCCATCTTGCCATTCCCGGTGAGTTCATGTTATGAAAGTTTAGTTGGATTCAATCCCAAATTCATCTAGATGGATCTTTGGCTTCCCACAACAGAGGTCTCCAACCTCGGCAACTTTAAGACTTGAATTCCTGAGCTAACATGACTGGAGGAGGAATTCTGGGAATTGAAGTCCACAAGTCTTAAAGTGGCCGAGGTTGGC